CAGCAATTATTTCTTAATACTTAAGGGAGAAAAGGGAGCCTTTTAGGAATTAGCCAAGAAAGTGAAATCCAAATTGTATTTTGTAAGTTTCCTGCTTCCAACTCCTCCCCAAATCTAAATATAGTCATATAAATAAGTTATAATAATACTAACTAAAAAAAAGTAACTGGCTAAAATGATTGTGCAGCATTGGTTTTTGGGTTTTCTGAACCAGCTATACTCATTCATTTTTTTCTTCTGAGGCTGGCATTAGCCTCCCTCACCCTTTATATTTAGGTTCAGGAGACCCCTTGTTCTCCTTTATTCTTTGAGTTGCTCTTAGGCCAGTGAAACACTGGAAGCCTGGCACCATTGATTATAGCCTAGCTCTGGTGAATTTTGTGAGGCACTAAATGATTTTATGTCCCTTTTTGAACATTTAGTGTAAGCCTTTATCTCCTTTGTTGATAATCAGAAAAGCCTATTTTGCAACAGAGCAGATTGTAATGGTCCCTCCCATTTTTCCAGCCCCACCTGAAAAACAACTTCCATAAGATTTCTACAACTGAACAGTAATCCCAAACATATATTCAAAATAAAACCAAAAACATTTTGTATAACCAAACTTCCCATTCCTACTTGGGTTTATTTCTCAGGCATGTGACTTGACCTCAGCCCCTTTGCTATATAATGGTTCATTGTTCCTGTGTATGGATCTTTCAGGTTAATGGGGCTACTATTCCCTCACATAATAAATAAGAAGAGCCTTTTGCTGGTCTAACAGTCTGCCTTTGATCTAAAGGCACATAGTACTTGGTTAATTATCATCTTTGCCTAGTACTACTGGCAGAGTGGTGAGGATTAGGGATGTCTTTCCTGAAGAGTTGTTATTTCTGTTCATCAGCTGTCAAGGCAGACAATGTATGACCTTTCTTAACTGATTGACATCTGGGCTTCAGATTGTATAGTCTCCTATATGGTTAGGAACAAATAGAGCAGATAACTTCTATGGTAAGTAGTTATATTTGATGCTAAGGTATGTGTGATTGACTATCTTAGTGGTCTTAGGTAATTCACATGCCCTGAATAGATAATTCAGGGCACATAAATTACCATTTTTATTTTCAAATAACTGTTAGGGTATCCCTGTTACTAGCTATACAAGCCTGAGGGGATGGGCCAACAAGATTCCTGCAGCTGGAATGATACAGTGAGTCCATACCTAATAGGCCTGGCTGCAGTGAACTTTTTTACACTTTACACCCGAGGAATTGTGACTCCTATGAAATCTATGCCCTTTTCTGTCTGTATCGTAGGTAGACGGAGTGCACCACCCTTGAACCTCACTGGCCTCCCTGGCACAGAGAAGCTGAATGAAAAAGAAAAAGAGGTAATGGGAAGGAGGGGGCCTAGAAGAAAGAGAAGAGAGGCTGATTATTCATTGAATCATCATTACAAACCCACTATATGGGGTGTATCCTAAAAGTCCAAGAACTAAAGAACCACCTCTTTACCTTGTCACCCTGCTATGATTCCTCTTTTGGGGAAATAACATATGACATGTAAATTCAGTAGTACCAAATATCCTTTATTGAACATTTACCATGTGCCCCTCTATTATTAAGTACTTTACATAAATTAATTTTTTATATACCTAAAAATAGCTTTTTCATGAAAATAGATATTTCCTATTAAAATGGTCTCTTTGAAAAGTTCTACACTTATTTCAATACTATAACCATTACTTAAATCTTTTTTTTTTTTTTTTGAGAAAGAGTCTCACTGTGTTACTCTCAGTAGAGTGCTGTGATGTCACAACTCACAGCAACCTCAAACCTCTTGGGCTTAAGCAATTCTCTTGCTTCAGCCTCCCAAGTAGCTGGGACTACAGGCGCCTGCCACAGCACCCAGCTATTTTTTTATTGCAGTTGTTTAGCTGGCCCTGGGGTGGGGTTTGAACCCACCACTCTTGGTGTATATGGCTGGCGCCGTAGTGCTACTGACACCGAACTCACTTAAATCATTTTTATGATTGTCTCCAGAGCATATTTATAAGCATAAAGAATGTTACACATTAATTTTTATTAAAAAAGTAATGTGACCTACTTTTGTTTCTAATTACAATCATTAGACTTTTCATCATATTGATTTTGGTTGTTGCTAAAATTTAAATCTACCCTCCTAAGAGTTATCAGCAAGAATTTTCCCCCAAAATGTGTCTTAGCTCTAAAGTCCATTTCAAAAGAAAAATTTCTCTTTTGCTTCTCCTTGCTCCTTTTATAATTCCCATAATTGTTTTTCCCATCTACCACTTTCTATCATTAGTTCAGGTCAGATAATAAGGAAGAATCTTAGTGTAGGAGCTAGTTTAGTCTAATTTTATCTACCAGGAACAGTAAAAATTAGTTTGGGAGTAGAAGGCAATGTATATCTCATGTATTGCTGAAGAAGGTCACAGGCCAGTCAATATTCAAATATTGAATGGCTGGCTCAGCTCCTGTGGCTCAAGTAGCTAAAGCGCCAGCCACATACACCTAAGGCGGCAGGGTTGAATCCAGCCTGGGCCCGCCAAACAACAATGATGGCTACAACCAAAAAATAGCTGGGCGTTGTGGCGGGCACCTGTGGTCCCAGCTACTTGGGAGGCCAAACTACAATGATGGCTACAACCAAAAAATAGCCGGGCATTGTGGCGGGCACCTGTGGTCCCAGCTACTTGGGAGGCTGAGGCAAGGAGTTGCTTGAGCCCAAGAGTTGGAGGTTGCTGTGAGCTGTGATGTCACAGCACTCTACCCAGGGGGATAGCTTGAGGCTCTGTCTAAAAAAAAACAAACAAACAAATATTGAATGGCCTGAAATGTCAAGCTTTTTTTTTATCCTTATCCACATAATGGTGACCTCAGACTGCCCTTGCTGGATAATATGGCAGGTGAACTAGAATTGAGCCAACTTTTCTGGATTTTTAGCAAAGTAGCCTTTTTCTAGCAAGGTCTCTGTATTTCCTTTTCCTTCAAAGTAGGAAATATAATCACAAAAGCAGGGACTGCTGCTTTATGCTGGTACTAAAAATAATGTGATTCACACTTGGGAATCTAAGTTTCTGTACCTTCCTCCCTTATAGTGCCTATGGCTCTTCCCTGACCATTGGAATCGTGCTGGGCCTCAACCTGGATGTTCATTGCTCACCTGAGTGAGCCAGCCTGCTCCTCAGGAACAGATCTCTGTTCCCTGTCAAAGCCAGGCCTCTGTGCCAGCCTGCGTGTGCTAAAGGCTCTCCGAGCATCACAGCCTGGCTTTCTTCCTGGGTGTCTGTCCTTAGGGAGTGTTCTTTCCAAAGAAGAGACTAAATGGAATGTGGTCCAGCCACTCATCAACTCCTATAAATAGTTGGCGGTTGATGTCACTTCGAAAAAATTTTTGCTATACCTGCTGGATTAAATTGTGAGAATGACAGATGTTAATGTTTATTAAATTTGTCATGTCTTGCAGCTCTGTCAGATGGTGAGGTTGGTCCCTGGAGCCTATTTAGAATACAAATCTGCTCTATTGAACGAATGTAACAAGCAAGGAGGCTTGAGACTGGCGCAAGCAAGAGCACTCATCAAGATAGATGTGAACAAAACCCGGAAAATCTATGATTTCCTCATCCGAGAAGGATACATCACTAAAGCTTGAGGCACTAAGGGCTTGGGACCAGAAGTCAGAAGTTTGGAATGTGATGGGCCAAAGGACAATATGGACATTCTGGGAAGTTTTGTTTATGAGCTGAATTCTCATTGTAAAAAGAAGGGAAGGACAGAGCAAACCTGAAGTTGTATTAATGTCTACTTTCTTCTCCACCCTGCTTTAAAACACTCCCGTTGTTGGTATTATGTTGCAGAATTGTGTGCTAGATAAGCTATTATTAAATGTGAGTGGGCATTCATTCCTAACACCTCTTATAACTAAAAGAACCATAGTACCTCACATCACAGTGTTGGTAGAAATAGAACTAAACCACAGTATATAGTCCCAAGAGTTCAGCTCAGACCCATGTACTTCAGAGGTACGTTTGCTGATTATCTGTTTCACCTTCAAACACTGCAGACAGATTTAAAATAAAGAGAAGGGTTTCCTTGCATGAGAATTCTTTCTCTTTCCTTCTAAGGATTTTTTTAAGATGACAACTTAGGCTTATGAACAGAGGGGAAGAAAATATCCCCTTGATGGTCTTGTCCCAAACTGCATCTTTAACTCTGCTGTCTGCCTTTGTACTTGGCAGTCTGGCTGTCTGATCTGCAGCAGACTTTTGAAGAGGTGGTACTGGATATAAAATGTCTCTGTTATTTTTAGAATTAATGGATTAAAATGTTTTGCTATTTAATTTGTGGGTGTATTTAATATTCTGGTAAGTAATGCACACTTCAAGTGTTGAATGCCCACCCCATCATGCCACACTGTCTTCTGTTAACGTGTGTCCTGGACTCACCCTAGGGATTGCAGGCCCCTGAGGATGGAGATGATGCAACTAACCTCAGCTTTGCTTTGAGACTTAAACCCTAATTTCCCAATGGTGAAAAGCTAGCGGGTAATAAAAGCTGCTTTTAAAACAAAAGTGAAGCACTTCATGTACGGGTCTCAGTAAATATGAGGGTGAGTAGTCCCCTCACATCAGAAACTTGCTTCTCAAACTTCCAGCAGAATAAGAAGCCAAACTCATAGTTATCTGATTTATGTGAGAAGCAAAGTTGTATATAGAAATAACTTCGGCTTGGTGCCTATGGCTCAAGTGGCTAAGGTGCCAGCCACATACACCTAAGGTGGAGGGTTCAAATCCAGTCCAGGCCCGCGAAACAACAATGATGGCTGCAACCAAAAAATACCCGGGCGTTGTGGCGGGTGCCTGTGGTCCCAGGTACTTGGGAGGCTGAGGCAGGAGACTTGCTTGAGCCCAGGAGTTGGAGGTTGCTGTGAACTGTGATGCCACAACACTCTACCCAAGGGGACAGCTTAAGATTCTGTCTCAAAAAAAAAAGAAATAACTTCACAGGGACAGCACCCATGGCTCAGTGAGTAGGTTGCCGGCCCCATATACCAAGGGTGGCGGGTTCAAACCCAGCCCTGGCCAAATTGCAACAAAAAAATAGCCAGATGTTGTGGTCGGTGCCTGTAGTCCCAGCTACTTGGGAGGCTGAGGCAAGAGAATCACCTAAGCCCAGAAGTTGGAGGTTGCTGTGAGCTGTGGTACCAAAGCACTCTACTGAGGGTGACGAGTAAGACTGTCCCTACAAAAAAAAAAAAAGAAATAACTTCATCAGAATCTGCACAGATCACATCCAATAGCTGACTGATTCTTTAATTCCTTCACATTTAAACATCTAATTAAAATATTGTGTGTTTTATTGGAAGCATCTGCTTGAACTTTTGACTGAGTAAATATGCATACAGCTTGATAATAGACTTCATCTAGGGCAACGGTTCTCAACCTGTGGGTTGCAACCCCTTTGTAACAATGAAAATACATCGCAGCATTAGGAAGGTTGAGAACCACTGATCTGGGGGATGAGAAATGGAAAAAGACATTCTTAGGATCTGAGGGTTCAAATAGAGGACTTTGATTGTTTAAAAAGATGGCTTGTGGAAATGGTCTCTTTTCTTTACATAGTTATATCTCTTAGAAAAGGTATTTCACTACCACCACCACCCCTAGTTGCTTCTTACCTGGAAAGCTAATTCCTGTTTTGAAAATTTGGTGTGTATTAGACGTAAGTGTCAGGTGATGTGTATGGTAGTTTGAAAAACCTTAATCTTGATTAAGGAAGGCTTCCTGAGAGAGGTGAGTTTTGGGGGCAATGGTAAGATAAGGAGAAGAGAAAAAAATGGCAGATGGAAGTAGGAAACTGTTCAGACATAGGGGGTGGAGGATGGTGTGGAGGCAGCAGTGGGAGTAAGGAAAATAGTGCCAAGAGATTTGTTTCGCTAGAACACAAGGGGCAGCTGTGGTAGTTAGGAGTGGGAGGATGGGAGGACAGTCTGACAGAAACCTTGGAACCAGTTGAACTCTCAAAAAAGCTCGTGGGGAATCAGTATATTTGATGAGGAAAATAGTGATAGAAGAAAAATAAGGTTGGGCCGGGTGCAGTGGCTCATGCCTATAATCTTAGCACTCTGGGCGGCCAAGGCAGGTGGATTGCTTGAGCTCAGGAGTTCAAGACCAGCCTGAGCAAGAACGAGACCCTGTCTCTAAAAGTAGCCAGGTGTTGTGGCAGTGCCTGTAGTCCCAGCTACTTGGGACAGCATTCTACTGAGGGTGACCAAAAAAAAAAGATTTCTCTTAGGGCAGTGGTTCTCAACCTTCCTAATGCCACGATCTTTTAATACAGTTCCTCATGTGGTGGTGACCCCCAACCATAAAATTATTTTCGTTGCTACTTCATAACTGTAATTTTGCTACTGTTATGAATTGTAATGTAAATATCTGATATGCAGGATATATTTTCATTGTTGTAAAGGGGTCGCGACCCACAGGTTAAGAACCGCTGTCCTAGGGTTTTGTGCATACCCCAGTGGTAGGAAATAGAGAACAAATCTGTTTCTGTGTAATGTTCCTTCTCTTTTACTTTTTTAAACATGCAGAAAAGTTTATTTCGCACCTGGGTGCAAGCAGGCTCCTCATCTGTGCTTAAAGACCAAGACTATCTCTGTTGAGAGATCAATGCTCCTCATCTGTGCTTAAAGACCAAGACTATCTCTGTTGAGAGATCAATTAATACTAAATATTAACAGTTTATTTTTTCCTGGGTTACAGCTTCCATTCTTTTATTTGCAACTCTGCTTTCTCCCCCCACCACCTACCCCCGGGAAAGAGTCTCAAGCCGTCACCCTGGGTAGAGTGCCATGGCATTACAGCTCACAACAACCTCAAACTACAGGTACTGGCCATTTTTTGTTGTTGCTGTTGCAGTTGTCATTGTTGTCCCAGCAGGCCCGGGCTGAGCTCAAACCTGCCAGCCCCAGTACATGTGGCCAGTGCCCTACCCACCAAGCTACAGGCTCTGCCATACTCCACTTTTTAAAAAAATCCAAACTCAGGCCAGGCGAGGTGGTTCACACCTGTAATCCTAGCACTCTGGGAGGCCAAGGCAGGTGGATCACTTGAGCTCAGGTGCTTGAGACCAACCTGAGGAAGAGCGAGAGCTCAACTCCACTAAAAATAGAAAAACTACCCAAGGGTTGTGGTGGGTGCCTGTAGTTCCAGCTACTTGGGAGGATCACTTGAGCCCAGGAGTTTGAGGTTGCTGTGAGCTATGAAGCTGTGGCACTCTACCCAGGGTGACAAAGAGAGACCCTTGTCTCAAAAAAAAAAAAGGTTCAGCACTTATATCTCAGCGGCTAGGGTGCCAGCTTCATACACTGGGGCTGTCAGGGTTCAAACCCAGCCTGGACCTGCCAAATAATGACAATACCAACAAAAAAAAATAGCCGGGTGTTGTGGCAGGTACTTGCAGTCCCAGCTACTTGGGATGCTGAGGGAAGAGAATCACTTAAGCCCAAGAGTTTGAGGCTGCTGTGAGCTGTGATGTTACAGCACTCTACTGAGGACAACATAGTGAGAGTCTGTCTCAAAAAAATCTATGAGGTGCCTGCCTCATAGCCAGGCATCGTGGCAGGCACCTGTAGTCCCAGCTACTTGGGAGGCTGAGGCAAGAGAATCGCCTAAGCCCAAGAGCTGGAGGTTGCTGTGAGCTGTGATGCCACAGCTCTCTACCAAGGGCTATGAAGTGAGACTCTGTCTCAAAAAAAAAAAAAAAAATCCAAACTCAGCTAAGCAACCAGTCATTGGAATCTTCAGCTGGTAGGTTAGCTGGAAAAAGGGAATAGACAAATGGCATTCAACAATAACAATAAAATCCTAGTTTAAGTCATTCTAGCTTTAGGAAATATGTGATGTATCAGAGGCCCAGATTACGCAGGTACTTGGGAAAACTCATCCATATAGTATTTGCCTCAAAAAAATCCCCCTCAAAACCCAAAAAAAGCTTTTTCCACCCATTTCTAGGCAAGAGAGTGGTATTGTGTTCTAAATGCTTTCTGGAACATAACCTATCCATTTTTAAGGACATCTTTATGGAAACCTCTAGATGTATAATTGCATTATTATTGACAATACAAAAAGGTTTTCTGCAACTTACATGTACCTTGCTTTTTGTTTGAATTTCCAAAAATTAAAGTTTGAGTCAAGAGGTATTGCTGGGGCCAGGCACGGTGGCTCAGGCTTGTAATCTTAGCACTCTGAGAGGCCAAGGCTGGAGGATCACGTGAGCCCAGGAGTTTGCTGGGGTTTGTCTGAGGTTGCTAGCTGGGGTGATAGATCCAGACTGTCTAAAAAAAAAAAAGTATTGCTGATGGGGAAGCATTGCTTTCCTTTCTAATGTGCTTAAGCCAGATGTAGCTAACTGCCAGATTGCCAGAAAGGACCATCTGTGGTACATGGGGCACTGGCTGTCAGGTCTGTGGCTTTGTGTAGAACAGATGACCAAACTAAGCTAAAAGATTTCCCTTTAATCTGAGGAGATAGATACCCAGACTATCTGAGTGAAATGTAGGTGAAATTGAACAGGATCTCAGTTCATGCAGGGTCAGAGCAGTGTGGATAGTAATGATCATGTTGATTTAGGCACTTCATTTGGGAGTGAGAATAGTAATGTGAGCATTTATTTATTTTTTAGAGATAGCTTCACTTTGTCACCCTCAGTAGAGTGCTGTGACGTTACAGCTCACAGCAACCTCCAGCTTTATTTATTTATTTTTTATTTTTTTTTAGAGACAGAGTCTCAACTTTGTCACTCTTGGTAGGGTGCTGTGGCGTCACAGCTCACAGCAACCTCCAGCTCTTGGGCTTAGGTGATTCTCTTGCCTCAGCCTCCT